GTGTAGCCTGAAGCACTCCTAATTCTATGTAAAAAAACAGGTGGCGACTCCTCTACTAAGGAAATAGCCTGGTTTTGTACACCTTATTTGTTCACTTGGGGTATAAGCCTTCTTTCCCATGTTGCTATGACATTTCATACTAAAAAAAAAACCCACCTACTTAACACACAGAAAAGGCATGACCCAGACACCATCAGATTAGGAAAGGCAGTGTGGGGACATCTAACCCACAAAGGCACATCACTCTGTGATGGGAAGGGGGAAGAATTTCTGAAATGGATAGAACTAACCCTTGGGATTTTAGAACTGCAGCTTTGATCCCGATATGAAAGAAATCCCAAGCAGGCTTTAAGATGCAATGTGAACCACTGAAGTAGCTATCAGGGACCTAAAAACATTTTGGCTTAAGGCTCAAATACAAGAGAAATAATCTGATTAACCAGATTTGAAATAATGGTTTGTGTTCTTAACTGTACAGTCATTTCTCATGTAATTTTGGATAAGGATGAAACTGCTTCCATGCTAATACTCCCAAGTCAGACGGCTTCCTCATCTCACCACTTGTAAAATGGCAATAGCACTTCCCTGTACTTCAAAGTAGTATTGCATAAGTAAGTTCATGAATGCATGCATTGAGACACAGACAAGAATTATGAATTGAGAAAACCCATTAGCAGATGACAGTTGCTGGAGGTGGGTGCTCTGAACTAGATCCGAGAATTGTTCCATTTTCACATGGAAAAGCACATCTCTCAAAACGGATCACTTCCCCATGCGGTTCAGAGCTCAGCTGCAAGCTGTGCCAAGACCAAGGGCAGGAAGGAATCTTTTATCCTGGTGTCAGCACCAAATTCTGTCTCACACAAGAACAACGTCAGAAGCTGCACAGTTCCATCCCTTACCTTATCCAACTTAAGGCTTTAAGCCAATGCAATTGACAGCTGACCAGCAAAGGCTGGAATGTGGGAAATCTCAAGTGGAAACAAGATTTTCTCTCTCCCTAAAGCTTTCTTTTAAATGAATAATGCCTCGGTTTTTAAGGGGTTAGCAATACTAGCCATAAAAGGGCAATGGATATAAGCAACATGGGTGCAGAGTGCTGAGAACCAGCGTAACCCTATGAAAATTATTTTCACAGCGCTGTTTCTTTTTCAGCCTCTTTAGCAACACAATGTATTTAAAATGGCTCTGCAGTACCACAGGATGGCTAGTCTCTTGTCTGTTGCAGACATCAGGTGCAAGTGTAAATAAGGATTATACAAATGGGAGGTCGTTAAAAGTCTGGTAATGCTAATTTGGCATGACACCCCTAATGGGTTATATCTTCACACTTCAGTTATCTAATCACCTAAATTCTTTTAACAAATTTACATTTCATCTTATACATGTAGATTCAAATTGACTTGTTTAATTGTTCCTCCACCCAAACTGCACCCATGCTTATTTTGCCTTGTATGTTAAATATCATCATCAATTTTGAGATCATCAACTACCTATACACAAATACAACTGCACATGTCTATATACTTATGCGTACAAAACTTCTCGCGTCTCTAAATATTTTTTCATTTTTCACAAACTTTTCAGATCTCAGGAGAACCACAAATACACGTATGTGTCATCAGAAATAGCATCTCAGCTTGAAATTTACCTTGTTGGTAGGATAGTTCCATTTTCCTGAGAGAAGTGAAAGGGAATAAAGTGACTTTTAAATTAATAATTTAAATGTCACGTTTTAACCCATTTTCACAGTCATGTTTTACAACTTTGCCTGTTTTATATAAAAAGTTAATCTGAGGAGCTGTTCACTTCTCCTGGCTTGTTCAGGAAAAGTAACAACACAAGGAAAAAAGCTTTAAATTGTTCACACCTTCTACATAACACTGAGATTTTATTTGACACTGCAGGTTTAACGTTCTAGTTAGAACATACCACTTGCACAGACTTTCATTTTCTTAGCTCAGAGTCCTCATGAACTAAACGCAAACTAAAGAAATGTAGCAAAACCTCACCTGGATTATATTAAGATAAAGCTAAAGTCACTGCTATGATAACTGCACTTGCATATGGAACAAAGAACCATATTTAATTAGAGGGGTGGCTGCCTAACACAGCCAACTCTTGATGACAACATGCTACTATGAAATCAATATATTCTTGTGTATTTTAATATGATAACTCACTTTTCTAAATGTGCCAAAGGGATGCTTATTTTGGTTTTGCTTATTAAAAACACATGCAGAACAGAATCCAGTAGAGCAAATATAGTTCTCCATTTTCCTCATGCAGACCCGAAGTTAATTACACAGAAGTCAGTTGATTTACGCAATAGTTATATATTGGTTTCTGAAATAGATTTTGAGCTAGTAACTGACCACTTGATCCAAGAAAGCACTTAAGTACACAAAGATAGAAGAAAACACATGCTTAAAAGATTGCCTGAATTCTTTTCAGGAATTCTGAATTCTTTTCAGACTTTTTCCTGAACTGGGAGCTTACATAATAACTTTAAATGGCAGCAAGAAAACCTGAACGCCTTCAGGAACATCAAGAATGGTTCATTTCTTTCAAAATGCTATTTTTAACAAACACATCAGGTAAAGAACAGCCAAGTGTGACCATTAGCTCCTACATAACTACATGTACACAAAATCAGAGAGGTTTTGTTTTCTGATCGATTGGCTTCTTCACTATAATATATTTTCCTATCAGCAATAGTTTAAATACAAATTGGGAATTTCTTAATCCATTTTATATAGATTTTTAAAATATCCTTGAGTAGATAGTAGGCTTGTTCTTTTATCCTTTTCCATGAGGAGTAATTCAAATAGCAGTGAAGTATTGTGTTAGCGTGATACAAAGGGTGGTAAGATGCTTTATTTTTTAAAAATGTATGTCCATGAGGAAGACAGGGGTGGAAAGGGAGAGAGGGAATAGATGAGTACATTTCACTTTCAGTGGAAGTTGACAAGCATAAACAGAACTTTCGCATGTTAGGATTCATCAGGCTGCTGTTAAGATAGGAAAAACAAGTTCCAGTGCCTGGAATTATTAAGAAAATACCAGTTTTGGCACAAGGGATACTGCCAGAGGAAGGAAAAAAAACAAAGAACCATAGCTATGTTAATAACTAACCTCATTTGCTCATTCATTTACTATCATACCAATGTTTTTGGACTCTCATTAGCCATGTATACCTAAGAAGCTTTTCACAACTGTCTGGAAGGCTGCTACCCCTCTCTTCCATTATATTCTTTTTTTGAAAGTCCCACTGTTAGCAATAATTAGAAGTTTTTCAGAGTTTATTACAAGACTGAGGTAGTTGGGATAGCCAACATATACTGGTATAATTTTATCAAAATAAAACATTTTTTTCCATGAACAAAAAACCAAAAAGCTGCCCAGTTCCTGAGTTTGCGTCCTACAGCCCTTCACCACTGTTCTGTGTTCTCATCTAACACACACATCCACATTCCATTTCACTACCTCGATACTCCCAGTTCCACTTCACCTTCCCCAACTGTTGGCTGGACAAAGTAAGTGCCTACAGACCGTTTCAAGCAACTCATATGCTAAGAGTCATGCCAAACTACATTGCAGCTACCTGCTCACCAGGGCACTAGTCTAATCTCAGTTCTCTATAATATAGTTTGCTAATTTTCACATTTTTTTAAAGGCACTGAGGAACGGAGACATCTACCTCCTTCAAACAAACTGGAACCAGCCAGTTGGAGTTGCTGCAAGTCCTTAGGTGGGGAACACAGATAATCAATGCAGGCCTTACTTCGCAGGGTGGGGAAGTTAGGTAGGTTCTGGTAGGTTAAGTCTAGATGGGGTAGATGGACTGAGGCAGTAGCAGGACTTCACTCCTGGAGATGTCCTTGAGCTGACCCCAGCCACTACAGGTTATCATTACTGACCATCTTTCCCTGTCTGTAGCCAAATTTGATGGCAGAAGACAGTAAAAAGGTCACTTGAGCTACATCATCTTGAGTTTACACAGGCACAGCCCCTTGTTTCAGCAAAAAGAAACATTTGGTTTATACAGGTAATAGCTGCAGCCTGATTTTTATGATGCAAACCACAGATAAGTTAAAAATAAGCACGAACAGGACTGAAAAAGGCACAACACAGCACCAGTCTTACACAAATACTCATGGAGAAATGCAGGAGCAAGAAACTTATTACAGTGTCCAAGGTTTTTAGCTTCTGTGTGATGGCAGCTACCCTCTCCTTCTCTACAATGTACTGAAGTCTTCTGATTTGCACAGAGGCAAAGCTGCAGACAATAAGCTAGATGTACAAAGGACAAGGAGCAATGCACTGATATTTAATTATTTAAGACGAACTTTCCTGAGTTACTCCCCTCTCGATTTCATAAAAACGCATTATATCTTTATTTAAAAAAAAAAAATCTTTAGAATGCATTAAAAGAAGACAAGATTATATTTTGTCATGTGGTATGTGCTCAGTGGCTGTAATTCTGCATTTGAAGGCTGAGCCCCATTTAACATCTTGTGATAGCAACACCCAAACAAAAAAAAGCCTTCTTTCTGAGCTGCAAGTTGGTCACCCTATGGGAGGAAGTGGCTGCGCATCTCCAACTGCTATTAATGCAGGTACAAGACCTTATCCCATCTCACCAGACAGTTACCAGTATTTCTAAAATTCAGGCTCATTTATAGCTTTACTTTGCAATCCCTTCACTCCCAGTATGTTTTTAGCACACTTACAAGCATACAGGGTGCTGCTTCTGGCTCTAAACTACAGTGGAGCATGATGGAAAGAAATAAGCTTCCCGTCTCGGTTGCTCTTGCTCCTAGAAAGTATTTGTTTATCTAGAGCCAATCGCTGCTCCCGTATCTATGTAGTGACTTCCTCATAGCAGTCAGAGATTACCCACACCGCTGATCACTTTATTACTTCAGAATGGCTGTTTATTTACTTTAGTGCAGCAGTAACATGCAGGGATAAAGCTCGTCACAGCTGGGCAAACTCACCATATTCCTTACGCAGGTGGTCTGGAATGTGGGGCTCATAACCTTCCTTCTCAGGGACCTCCACAAATTCATCTTCGTCCTCCTCGTCGTCATCGTCATCCGAGGCTTTCATCTACAGAGATATTTTTGATGTTTTTTTTTTAAACGTGAAGGCTGCTTTTCATTTCCCTTCACACTGAAAATATTTTGCAGACATCTTGATAGCCCTACTGAGACTGCTCTATGTCGAAAGTATTTCCCTAATTATGTATTTAATCTTTACCTAAGATTAGGCCTTTGCTTAACATTTTATCTCTAAAGCCATACTCTATCCTAAGGGCTTCTTTAAAGCCCCTTTTATCCGTTAGAACACATGCAGTTGGTGAAGTCTGAGAAAGTGTGAAGCTATAAAATAAGACCAAAGAATCTTAAAATAACATCAAGATTTTGACTTAATGAGCAAATTATAGCCTTATCTCTTCTCCTTTGGCTGATTTTACTCATTTAGCTGCACCCAAATAGTCTGTGGCATGTTAAATAGTACCACAAATTGTTTAAGAGCTCAAAACCAGAGCAGGCAAACAGGAGGGGAAGCTGAGGGACTGGCAAGCTAATACTGACCAAACTAAGAATATTCAGATCTGTATACTACAGTGTTTCACTGTGTTCCTTCACAATAGCACTAAAACTAATTTGATACATTCATTTCTTTAGAGGTCCCTTCCAACCCAAACTATTCTATGATTCTGTGATTTCTTAACTAATTCGGTACATCCTAACCATTCACACCATGAGACTGCACACATTACTATGGTCAAGACCAACAAAACGGGGTTTTTAAAATGTGCACTTGGTTTATATTGCAGTCTGAAATTGAATATCTATGACTAGCTGAAAAATAGAAATGGAGTTCCTACTAACTAACAACCAGGGTAATTCATTCACGTAAGTGGCTTCCTATATACCATTTCAGCTAGATGTGCCAGCAAGTCTCTACATTTTTTTCTAAGCTTGTTCCATACCTGAAAATGAACTTTTCTTTTATACTACACATAAGCTAAAAGAATCTGTGCCACCTCAGACATGGCCTGTACTATCAGAACTTTAAAATAGCAAATGCCAACTACCCTAAAAAGGCAGCAATGATGAAGGTTTTATGCTTTATTTCCTTTGCCCACCTTGGGAGTCACCTAATTCTTAACAACATAATTTGCATATTATTCTGTTTTTGCCATGCACTTTCACAAGTCTAGGAAATAATAAGGGGTATCCACTAAAACCAACCTTACCACAGTTTTTCAACTCCACTGCAGCAAGCCAAAGCAATAGATAAGGAATGGTATCATTTTTACTATTTTCAGCCATGTTCTTTACTTCTCTTACTGCATCTGACTTACGTTGATATTCATATCAACTACTCATTGTTACAAACACCGGAGGATACTGCAGGTTTTGCCTGCAGCAGAATTTTTCCCAATTTAATTCACTACTCTAATCGTGTGTCACAGCTGCACAGCTGAGTTCCTTTAAATCATACATATATTCTGAAGGCAAAAAACCTAGAAACCAATCTTGGTTTATTGAATGTAGTTAAAAAGTTAAAATAAATAATTAAAAAAATCAGCATTTCTTTTTGGTCAGTATTACTTGTAAGCTGGACTGAACTAATTTTTAATAAAGATCATTAATTGATATTAACACACATATTGATACACTTTAACATATAATGAATGGATGGTACAAGTTAGACGTACAATTCTTCCCTTTGTTTAAAAAATGACTTTGATTTAAGAAAGCTGCAGTTCCAGTGGAAAAAAAGTAAAAAAAAAAAAAAAATTATTTACTCTCCTGACGAATAGAGTAGATTTACTACGGCATTCTTACCAGAGAACATCTAATTAGTCTTCATTTTAAAATAAAGTCCCAGCATAATCATGTTTGAAAGCACCTTGCTGCCAAAGACAGGTAGCAACCACAACGTAGTCTCTTCAGCGCAATTATGACTACCTCGAGAGCTGCCAACCTTCAGGCTGTGCTGGAGGATCCTGCACCCTACTTTACTTTTTGTTTCCCACTGCAAACATTTTTCCTCATCGAAAGGAAAGAAGGAATTCAGGCCCTACCTGGCACGGCCAAGACAGATGCACGCAGAACCTGACCTTCCCAGCAGAAACCAAAATATAGAGTTCTAAAGCAAAGCAAGGGTCAAATATTCTACCGCCGATCACAAACTCGCAAAGGCACTAGACATGAAAGAACATCTGTGTTAAACTGCAACTTTTAGAAGACCTTCCCAATGGCCTTTAGAAAGAAAAACATCATCAGGTTTTGTACCCTGCACAATAGGAGAAGGCTAGAGATTGAAGAGAAGTTGGTTTGTTTGTATTTTGGTTTCAAAATTCTGCTGGTGTTGTCATCCCCTTTTATCTGTTAGGGGCAATTTAATTAAGTTCGGAAATAATATCCACTCCTATTTCTCCAGCTAGAAGCAGGGCAACATCATGTTTTCCACACTCAGGTT